TTTGGAATTTGAGTGTTTAATTTTGTACTTTTTATAAATATTATGACTACGAAAAAGTGTTTTGTTCCAGAATGTGATAATGATTCACATTCATCTTCAAAAATATTTATTAGTGTTCCTAGAAATTTGGAAAGAAGAAAATCAACCTTCTACTAGCGATGTTTCTCGTAAACTTTTTAATAAAAATACACCGGATTATCAAGATGTAGCAGCAATTTCTGCTAATTGTCCCCTTCAGGAAATTGAAAATGAGGCTACTATAAATTCTTAGGTGTATAACCTAAAAACCCTTCTGGAAGAAAATGCAGAATCTCCTGAAAGTTTTGAAGATACCGAATTTATTCATCATTTTGTGGAAGAACTAGTGATAAAGAAATAATAGAAAAATGTGGGTATTTAAACAAACTGGTTCCTGGATCCCATATAATGGCAGATAGGGGTTTCAGAATATTTAGCTACTTGAAAACATGGGATGCACTTTAGTAAAGCCACACCTAGTGTATCACAGAATGAAAAAAGTTCTCCAGAAGATGTACAATTAAGTAAAAGAATAGCATCTCTAAGAATACATGTGGAAAGAGTTATAAGAAGGGTTAGTTAATTTAACAAGTTAGAACCACATTCGTGTGTGAATTTTAAGCAAGTACATTTACTTAGTAATATCTGCATAATTGCTTGTTAACTTACAAGAACCTATTTTGTAAGAGTAAATATTAATTTAATAATTTTTTGTTTGTTTGTTTTTTTAATTTAATTTACCTAATTATCACATTTCAGGGATTATAATGAGTTTTTAAACAGCCAATATAATTTTTTATAAAATTTTAACTTTTCGAACAAATCAAAGAGGAATGAGTACCTGTATATGCATAGATTTTTTTGGGACTAAAACTACCAAAACAAAGGCACCTATTTACAGCAGTTTAAAATGAAACATTTTGACAAAAACGCCTATGTCACAGTGATAAATATTAAAAACCAAGTTCAGTTGAATGTGGTAGCAAAGTCTATATATTCCAATAAATCGGGTAACTACATGTGGTATCACTGGTGATAAATTTAAAAATATCACAATTCTTGCTACCTTTTTCAAAAAACCAGAAAGTGTGTGTTCTTATCAATCCTTTATGAAAATGACAACAGTGATAAATGTGAAAAAAAAATTTAATGTTGCTATTCGTTATTACGATAGTAAAACATGTTTGCAGTTCCGTTTATTTTTTATGAAAATCTAAGTAAAAACAACCAATGTCAAAGGGTTATAATTTTTTTTCTGTTGAACCAAATATATCACAAAATTTAAAAATTGATCATAGGTCAAGCTAAAGTAATACCTGTATTGATAGTAGCTTTAAAAAAGGACAAAGAATACTATTGACTTAAATTATTATTATTAACATTGGTGATTTTTAATAAAAACTCTTCAATTATTGTTTACAAACAAAAATATAAAAATCTGAAAATTTTATTTATTAATCTTTTAATAAAAAATGAGAAAAATGAAGTAAAAAACAATTTATTTACAAATAAAAAATATATATACAAATCCTAAGAATATAAAAGTACTGATTTATTTTCCTGTAGTGGATGAAGAGGTTTCTTTAACAATCTAGCCAAGTGTACATCAATATTTACGCATTTTGATAAATTATGAGGTTTTCCAATAACACTGAGTAGATGTTACAGTTGGTTTCTCACTCCCTCTATGAAGCCACAGCAAAAAAGCTACATGTTTACAACCACCTGAAAAAAATAAAAGGGTTAGATATGCAGTTACAAAATAACTATATAACCAGCTACAACATGCCTTATTTTATGTAACAAGACGAGCAGAGCTTTACTAGCTCTGAACGAATCCAGTAAAGAACCTCGGATTTTCAAAACTTAAAAAAAACAATCTCACCACATTTTCACATTTTTGAAATATTATAGAGCTTTTCGAAAAAAAAACTGCTATTTTTAAAAATACAATTTTTTGTTTTAACAGCTATGTCTCATTTTAGGCTATTGAGTATTATGCTTTGTTAGCTTCAAACGAATCCAGCAGAGCACCCCAGTTTTTTTTTAAACCACACCACGTTTTTTGGCTCCTACAATATTATAAAATATTCAAAATTTGGCATTTTAAAAAAAATTCGCAATTCCTTGCTGACTTCAAAGTTTTTTTCTGAAAACAAATGTACTTACTACATTTTTAGGATTTTAAAACAGCCTAAACATGTGTCATAAGTAGTTGTTTTTATATATAAAAAAAAAAAATTAAAAAACTGAAGTGTCCTGCTGACTTTGTTCCAACAAAGCACCCTGTATTATTTAAAAATAGCAATTTTTTTAGTAAAGTTTTACAATATTTCAAGAGTCTAAAAATGGGGTGTGGTTTTTAGAAAAAAGCTTTAAAAAACCGAATTGCTCTGCTGGCTTCTTTCGAAGGTTAGCAAGCACCATGTATTTTTAAAAATATAATATTTCAAGTGCATAAATATATGGTGTTGCTGTTTTTACATAAAAAACTTTATAAAATAGAGGTGCTTTGCTGACTTTGTTCGAAGCTATAGAGCATTTTAAGTTTTGCAAAAAACGAGGAGCATAAAATTTTTGAAAAGGGTATAAAAATAGCCTAAAAATATGGCATATTTTTTAACTCAAAATTTCATAGGTGCTCTGCAAGTAGATAAACAAAGCCAATATTCGACAGGAAGTGAGAGATAAGAGATAAGATAAGAGGTCAAGGTCAAGGCCACTGATAAGAGAGAGGGATCTATTTTTAGAACCGCCCACGTGTCAAGGTCAAGGCCACTGATAAGAAAGATAAGGATCTATTTTTAGAACCGCCCACGTGTCAAGGTCAAGGCCACTGATAAGAGAGAGGGATCTATTTTTAGAACCGCCCACGTGTCAAGGTCAAGGCCACTGATAAGAGAGATAAGGATCTATTTTTAGAACCGCCCACGTATCAAGGTCAAGGCCACTGATAAGAATCTATTTTTAGCAAGGTCAAGGTTAAGGTCAAAGACAAGGCCAAGGTCAAGACCACTGATAAGAATCTATTTTTAGCAAGGTCAAGGTTAAGGTCAAAGACAAGGACTAGGCCACTGATAAGAGATAAGGAAGATAAGAAAGATAAGGATCCCACGTGCCAAGGTCAAGATCAAGGTCACGGACAACCCACATGTCCGTATACACGCGGAAAAGTTCAGCCACCGACCACACACAACCCACGTGCCCGTACACACGCGGACAAGGTCATGTACCGATCACACACAACCCACATGACCCAATCACACAAGGACCCGTTTCGCGCAATTTCTACGCAACCTCACATATTCATTATTATTTAAAAAAATCTATTTAAAGAAATCTATTTTAAGAAATCTATTTTAAGAAATCTATTTTACGAAACCTATTTTAAGAAATTTATTTTAGGAAATCTATTTTTAGTTATGGTGAAGATCAATGTTAAATATAGAAAGAAAATTGCCAAGGTCAAGAACAACCCCCACCTTAAATATAAGGAAAGATTAAAGAGAGGGAATTTGTATATAAATATATTCAGAGTCTTTAGAATTTCATTTCAAAAAGTATTGCAACATAAAAAATGTGTTATCCACCAATTGTCACAGATTTAAAAAGTGCAATAAAAAAGTTAGTTTTTGATTTTACTAAACAAGGATATAAATGGGTACGTGAATCAAAATATCAAAATTATTCTCAAACATTTTGTAAAGAACAATGTGAAGTTTACGAAAAAGTCCGACAATTAACAGTTAAGTTACAAAATAATGGATGCTTAGAATGTTGGTGTGGTAAGATGGCTGAATTTAGTTATTTACGGGAACTCGATGATATAATAGACTTTTTACCAACATATTTACGAGAGAAGCTAATGAAATTCAATTCAACGGAAAATGAAGATTCTCAGAGTGAAAATGGTCAGGTTTGGAATGAAACTTTAAATCCAGTAGAAGTATTTGAGATGGAAGAATTTGAAGATGTTCCAGATATATTAGATTTGGAATACAACTATTAAATTTATTATAATATAATATAATAATAAACATTTATTAGATATTTATTAGTTTTATTTTTATGAAAGTGGAGGGGTTATTTAAATAAAATAAAGTATTACTTACAATTATGATTTTTTTATTCTTAAACATGTCTTTACAAGATTATAAACAAAAACTTGAAGAGTTAAGAAAAAATATGAAAAAATTTGATAAACGACAATTAATGAATAAAACTTTCAATTTTGTTACTATAACTAAGAAAAGGATTAGACCTACCAGAATAATGAAATAGTTGTTTATAAATTATGTTGTCAATAAATTATATTATCAATAAATTATGTAAATAAAAAACATTGTTTTAATTTTGCATCATATATTTATTATATAAAAAATATACATTAGATAAAGCACAAATACATTTATTATTTTTATGATAAAAACATAAAGGTTCTCCAAGTTCAAAAGCAGGTTGTTCATCAATTTCATATACAGGAACAGTTGAAAATTTCTTAATATAGTTTGCTTTTTCCATTCCTTTAACGTAGATACAGTCAATATCTTTAATAAGTTTTTGAAATATACTTCCAAAATGATGCAGTGGAGTATATCCATTATTCCAATCAATAGCATGATGGTTATTCATTAACCAAGTAGCTTGCTTGTGTAAATCGGAAGGCAACATCCTCAAAGGAAAGGGTGGCTTGAATACATAGTGACATACTTGTGAACCATTAAAAGCAGCAAATTCTTTAACTATAAACTTATTGTTTTCTATTTTAAAACCTTGAACATCTACTACCAATTTCATATTTTCAAATTATATAGTTGCTCTTCAACTTGTCTTCTTTTTTCATAATATTCAATATCCGCTTTTAGTTTTAATATATTTTGCAGATATTGTTGTAACCTCTGTTTGTACCCATGTAACATCATTAACTAATATTGAAATAGGAAAAACTTGAATATAAATTAAAATTAAAAGAACTTGCGCAATTACTTCTGTCGTACTATTTTTGTTAGAGGATTATAAAAAAATTCTTTTTCATGTAAAATTAGACAGAAAGCTGACACATCATTTCCTGTAGGCTTACTAGTTTCAAATTCAATTCTAAGAGAAACGGAACCACTTTGAATTACTTCTTTTTGACGAGAACAATCAATATGAACTATCGGACATTTTGTTTTAAATTCTTCGGGGTTGAATATAGGTTGGTTTGTTTGAATATGATAGTAAGATTCTTGAAAGCTAGCAAACATTTCATACAAAGTTGCAAAACGGTTAGTATCAAAATCTAAATTTAAATCGTGATAGGGAAAACGATCTGAATTTAAGAAAACCCTAATATTTGATAGATTACAATGATCAAATTTACTCATATCTTTTAAAAGTTGACCTTTTCGATCTTTTTGAAATGCTATTATAATATGTCTAGGTGTTTCTAATTTTGTTGAAGTTTTTACTGCCCACGTATGACGTGTGGAATCATTTAAAGTAGGATACTCAATTAGATCCCAACTTCTAAACTTAATAGGTAATTCAATATTTTTACTAATTATATTATTCAAGCGTAGTTGTTCTTCGATATTAACTGTAATTTGGGGTACATTCCAAAACAATTTAGTTATCTGAATGTTTGGTTTTTCTGTTTCATCTTTTGCAAGAACTGCATCAATATCATCACTAGATCTAATTAAAATTAAATCTTGTTTCATATTTAATATTATTTTTCTAAAATCTTCAAAAAATCCGGAAAACATTTTTAAAGGTATATTTACATTAAAATTTCCATTTTTATCTAATAAAATTTTTTGTTCACCTTTTGGAAACCAACCAGCGTTTTGCAATAACTTACTTTCATTATCATTTATTGATAAGTAATTTTTCAAGCTAGAAACTAAACCAACTTGTCTTACAGAATCAATTGTTACACCATTTAATACATATCTAATTTCTTTAAACATATAAGCGATACTATTATTAATAAATTCAAATTTAGTAGGTACTTTTTTCTGATCTGTTAACATTTTACCTTCCATATAAATATAGCTATTACAAGGTAGAGTATAAGCATCAAGTTCTTCTATAGTTATTCTAATTTCATCATTATAATTTGGAATAGCTGATGAATTTGACTGATAAATATGAAATTGATAATCTTCAATTGTAGTATCACTAAAAGGTTCCCCTGTAACATTTAACATTTCCATTATACTAAAACTTTAAATCCTATAGATTTCAAAAAAAGTCGATTTTTAGATGTTATCAACGGAATGGTTGATTTATTACTAATTTTCTTTCTATAACAACGCCTTTTATACTGTGGTCTTTTATTTAGATATTCTACTTGATTAAATATTAAAACCATAATTATTCAACTTTTTTAAGATGTAACCGAACAGTTATCGTCTCTTTACGAAAATCTATCAATTCACCAGTTTGATCAATAACCTTAATAGTAATGCTGTTTATGGTTTTGACACTAACAGGATAATACAGTAATGTTACAGGTTGCTCCACTATTTTATATCCATTTGGAACTTGCGGGAAAAATTCGTGAATTATATGAACTGGATTACCATTTAAAAAGGATCCAACAGCAATATTACAATCAACACATATTGTATTAACTTTTAAAATATTTATTTTATTTGAAGTATGACTTATATCTGGTTCAAGTTTAGTTTTAGAGAATCCAAGTAGGTTACCAATCGAGTTATTAACACTAAAATTTATCCACTCACTACTTTTTATTGTAATTGTAGATGTTTTTACATCTGGTGTTATTCGAATTGTAGCACCGCTGTCAAATACTTGTTTTTCTATAATTTTAATTATGTCATTTATTTCATAAGCACCTATGGGTATTTCAAATTTAAATTGATTATTTATACCCCACACTAAAACATTATTCTTAGCATGAACATTTGGAATGCTGTTAAAGGTATCAAAACTTATTAATCCAATTTCATATTCAATATTTTCATCAAGATATATGGGAGGATTAAAATTCGCAGTTAAAATTGTAGATTCACCGCTTAAAGTAAATGTAAATGACATGATGATTCGAAACGAAATGTGTTTGTGTTTTTAATTGTATTGGTTATATAAAAATTTTAAGCAATACTGACCACACTGATAAGAGTTGAAAGATTGAATAGGATCATAATTATATTTAATTTTAACTAAACCATTACTTTTAAAATATCTGATTAGTTCAAGTGGAGGGGGTAAATTTCCATAACTATCAAAGTAAATTATGTTTTTATTATTTTTGCTATATGCTGTCCAATGAGTACCAGTACCACTTTCAACATCAAGATTAATTATACCTGATTCTTTTGATTTAATTTTATATGGTAAAGAATCTCTCATATACACACCACGAAAGTAAGGAATCCTAAGAACATTTACATATTTTTTTAGATCAATATTAGTTAACGAGTGCTTAGGTAATTTAATAGAGATTTTTTTTATTTTTTTTGTTGGGTTCCAGATCCTTTGTACGGTTTTAGGTAAAACCCCTTTCCCCGTTTTGTTGTTTTTATAGTTTTTTTTTATTCCATATCCTTTGTAAGGTCTCAAATAAAAACCCTTCCCCATTTTTGTAGCTTGCTCCACAGCCAAATTATGTCTTTGCTGTTCAGCAAGTTGTTCACGATTTGCTTTGGCATCATTCACTGCTTTCGCAATTCCTGCTGCACCTCCCCCTACAGCTCCTAAAGCTCCTAGTAATGGTAATAGAAAAGGTAAAAATCCACCCTTTTTTGGTGTTAGAATAATACGTTTTCTTTTTCTTAAAGTTCCACCTTTTTTTGTAGTTTTTTTATTTTGTTTAATACCCATTCCAACTTTTCGTTTTCCCTTCATGGCTGTTGTTACAAACCAAGCTGCAGCTTTTTCTCCAAATTTAGCGTCTTTTGATTTAACCCTATTCCAGGCTTTGTTCTCTAATATTTTATCAGCTTTATGTCTTTCGTTTATATTTTTATTTTGTGAGTATGCAATATCGTGTTCTTTACAAGCTTGATCTAATGGATTAATTCCTTCATCACCTCGTTCTAAGCGTTGTTGTAATTTTGTTCCAGGTCCACAATAAGAATATCCAGGAATATGAAATTCAACGGGAAGTTTATTAATCAGAGTGTTTATCAAACCCTTGCCACGTTTACTCTGAGTTTTCATATTGATATGATCCTTTATATATGTTTGGGCATGCATATATATGTTTGGGCATACATATATACTCTCAGTTAACATGAAGATTCAAAAACAGAAACATACCTTACCTATAAAAAATTATGATATCGAAGTTAAACCTACTATTGGTAAACATGGTATATTGTTTGGAGGTGACACCAAACGCAGTTTAATTATAGGTCCTAGTGGATGTGGTAAAACTAATGTTATGTTGTCTCTGTTAGAACATCCCAATGGATTAAGATTTGAAAATATTTATCTTTATTCGAAATCACTACATCAACCTAAGTATGAATATTTAAGAGAATTATTGCAACCTTTATCAGAAATTGGTTATCAAGAATATAGTGATAGTGAAGAAATACCTTCTCCAGAAAACATTAAAAATAATTCAATAATTATATTCGATGATGTGGCATCATGCGATCAAAATATTATAAAAAGCTACTTTTCTTTCGGACGTCATAAAAGTACAGATTGTTTTTATTTATGTCAAACATATTCAGCAATACCCAAACAATTGATTCGAGATAACGCCAACCTAATAATTATATTTTCTCAAGACTGTACTAACCTGAAACATATTTATGATGATCATGCAAACATTGATATGGAATATCAACAATTTAAAAATATAGCTTCTTCTTGTTGGAAAAATAAGTATGATTTTTTTGTTATAGATAAAGATTGTGAAATATCTTCTGGTAGATATAGAAAAGGGTTTGATTCTTATATAAAGCTTTAAAAATTGAAAACTATATTAGTCAGAATGAGTGATCTAATACGAAAACAGCTAATTCAATCACGGAAAGTATTAAAGGATAAATATAATTTACTAAAACAAGAAAAAGCATTTTCTCAAAAACAATTCAAGGAACAACTACAACCACTCATTGAACCTATTCAAAAATTTATTTCATCAGCTCCATTGAAAACAGAAATAAAGCATGAACCTAAAACACCTAGTAACATATCACAATATTATAAGTTTATGCCAAATCTTACTGGTTCAATCATTCAACCAGAATTTGGTGAAACATTTATTGATGATAATCCTGAAGAAGTGACTCCGGAAGTACCACAAGAAGTATTTGATAGTTATTTAAATAAATATAATCCTTTACCAAGAGGTTACATTGAAGATTTATTAAATGATAATGAAGGAAATTTTGATCATACATTTGGTGTATACTTTGATCCAGAGTCTAAAGAATGGTCTTTCGGAGATTCTGTAATTAATTTTGATGGTCGTGATATTATAATTCAAGATTTAAAATATAAAGGTACTCCCGGTCTCTATGAGTTACTTTTTAAGAAGTTTCCTACTGGATATAGACCGGAGGATGTTGATAATTTTATAGATATCGTTAAACGAACAAATGCTCAGTATTTAGGTTATAACCCTGAAAAAGGTTTATCTACTTCAAATGCTAAAAAATTTATTGATATAATTAAACCTCGGGTTACAAACTTATATTCAATGAGTCAAGATTAACAAAGAAGTAGATCCAATTCACTCCCACAAAGTTCTCTTCCTCGTTTACAAACTAAATCTCCAAAAATATCTAAACTTTTAGATCCTAAAAAATCTACCTCACGTACATTGCGCAGTCAAAATGTTAAGAAAAGTGGTGGTGGAATTTTAATGAATTTTAACACCAAGAAAATTGATTATAAATATTTTGATAATTATAATGAATTAATTGATAGGTTACGGTTACTAATTGCTTCTCAATCAGCAGGAAATACAGGTCATAATAATGAAATTGTTTCAATTGTAGAAGAATTACGAGAAGGTGGAATAATATCATAAATACAATGATAAAGAAATTTATTTCACAGTTTACATCATGCCTCTCAACAAGTTTAATCAACATTTTCTTACTTCAAATCCTTCTTGTTCTGAAGAAGTGGTTGGAGCACCTTCTCAATCTGTACCATTTTACATTTGTCAACCTACTGAATATTGTGGTACATGTATAATTTATGTTCGAGGCTCTTTTATTGGCAAGAAGAATAATATACATTATATCTTAGAAAATGGTACAAGTACTTATGAAATACCAGTAACTGGTAAAGTAGTACGTGTTCAATGCGATCCAAATATTCTTTACGTTAACTATAAAAATCAATCAACGAAAATTGAAGATTTAATAAATGGAAATATTTTAAATAAAGGTGATATTATGGAATTTAAATTCAATCACAATCAACCTAGCCTATCCTTATATTTGGAGATGGTTTTGCAATGTCCTTTAGAACACTGATTCTTATAAATGACTCTGCAACCAAAAAATTTTATCATTTGAAGTTATGCCTCTTAATAAATTCAATCAACATTATCTTATATCCTCTTCCTCCTGTTCTGATGAAATAGTGTCATCACCTTCTCCACTTTTAAATGCACCATTTTATATTTGTGATTCTTTTGATTATCATGTTAAATGTTTAATTCGAATAAGAGGTGAAAAGAAAACAAGTTTAAATAAAAGTTTTTATGTATTAGATAATGGTGGCACTGGTTTTAAGTTTCCTTTATCGGCTAAAATCGAAAGTGTTTCTCATTACAAAGCCGATGGAGATGTTTTAATAAATAACAAATCATTTAAATTTCATGAATTACATAATACAAACATTAATAAAGGCGATGTATTGACATTTAAGCTTGGTACACCATCAAATATTTGTATTGAATTGCTTATACAGTGTCCTTTAGTGAAAAATGTCTAAATCATAACACATAATTATTGGGTAACCGTTAGACATATGACAAGAAAAAATGGAAATAATATGATATTGAAATATATATCAATAGACCTGCTGATTATAAAATATTTTGATTTTTTCTTGTCATATGTCTAACGGTTACCCAATAATTATGTGTTATGATTTAGACATTTTTCACTAAAGGACACTGTATAAGCAATTCAATACAAATATTTGATGGTGTACCAAGCTTAAATGTCAATACATCGCCTTTATTAATGTTTGTATTATGTAATTCATGAAATTTAAATGATTTGTTATTTATTAAAACATCTCCATCGGCTTTGTAATGAGAAACACTTTCGATTTTAGCCGATAAAGGAAACTTAAAACCAGTGCCACCATTATCTAATACATAAAAACTTTTATTTAAACTTGTTTTCTTTTCACCTCTTATTCGAATTAAACATTTAACATGATAATCAAAAGAATCACAAATATAAAATGGTGCATTTAAAAGTGGAGAAGGTGATGACACTATTTCATCAGAACAGGAGGAAGAGGATATAAGATAATGTTGATTGAATTTATTAAGAGGCATAACTTCAAATGATAAAATTTTTTGGTTGCAGAGTCATTTATAAGAATCAGTGTTCTAAAGGACATTGCAAAACCATCTCCAAATATAAGGATAGGCTAGGTTGATTGTGATTGAATTTAAATTCCATAATATCACCTTTATTTAAAATATTTCCATTTATTAAATCTTCAATTTTCGTTGATTGATTTTTATAGTTAACGTAAAGAATATTTGGATCGCATTAAACACGTACTACTTTACCAGTTACTGGTATTTCATAAGTACTTGTACCATTTTCTAAGATATAATGTATATTATTCTTCTTGCCAATAAAAGAGCCTCGAACATAAATTATACATGTACCATAATATTCAGTAGGTTGACAAATGTAAAATGGTACAGATTGAGAAGGTGCTCCAACCACTTCTTCAGAACAAGAAGGATTTGAAGTAAGAAAATGTTGATTAAACTTGTTGAGAGGCATGATGTAAACTGTGAAATAAATTTCTTTATCATTGTATTTATGATATTATTCCACCTTCTCGTAATTCTTCTACAATTGAAACAATTTCATTATTATGACCTGTATTTCCTGCTGATTGAGAAGCAATTAGTAACCGTAACCTATCAATTAATTCATTATAATTATCAAAATATTTATAATCAATTTTCTTGGTGTTAAAATTCATTAAAATTCCACCACCACTTTTCTTAACATTTTGACTGCGCAATGTACGTGAGGTAGATTTTTTAGGATCTAAAAGTTTAGATATTTTTGGAGATTTAGTTTGTAAACGAGGAAGAGAACTTTGTGGGAGTGAATTGGATCTACTTCTTTGTAAATCTTGACTCATTGAATATAAGTTTGTAACCCGAGGTTTAATTATATCAATAAATTTTTTAGCATTTGAAGTAGATAAACCTTTTTCAGGGTTATAACCTAAATACTGAGCATTTGTTCGTTTAACGATATCTATAAAATTATCAACATCCTCCGGTCTATATCCAGTAGGAAACTTCTTAAAAAGTAACTCATAGAGACCGGGAGTACCTTTATATTTTAAATCTTGAATTATAATATCACGACCATCAAAATTAATTACAGAATCTCCGAAAGACCATTCTTTAGACTCTGGATCAAAGTATACACCAAATGTATGATCAAAATTTCCTTCATTATCATTTAATAAATCTTCAATGTAACCTCTTGGTAAAGGATTATATTTATTTAAATAACTATCAAATACTTCTTGTGGTACTTCCGGAGTCACTTCTTCAGGATTATCATCAATAAATGTTTCACCAAATTCTGGTTGAATGATTGAACCAGTAAGATTTGGCATAAACTTATAATATTGTGATATGTTACTAGGTGTTTTAGGTTCATGCTTTATTTCTGTTTTCAATGGAGCTGATGAAATAAATTTTTGAATAGGTTCAATGAGTGGTTGTAGTTGTTCCTTGAATTGTTTTTGAGAAAATGCTTTTTCTTGTTTTAGTAAATTATATTTATCCTTTAATACTTTCCGTGATTGAATTAGCTGTTTTCGTATTAGATCACTCATTCTGACTAATATAGTTTTCAATTTTTAAAGCTTTATATAAGAATCAAACCCTTTTCTATATCTACCAGAAGATATTTCACAATCTTTATCTATAACAAAAAAATCATACTTATTTTTCCAACAAGAAGAAGCTA